AGTGTCATCTGAAAGGATGGATGATATTCGCCATCAAGTGCGTTCAAACTTGAAAACGTCTGCTGATTCGATGAAGTTATGTTATGAAAAGAGATCTACTGAAGTCAGCTTTGTACCAGGAGACAAGGTGTGGTTGTATAATTCCAGGAAGACCAAAGGGAAGTCTCCTAAGATGTGATCTCCATGGGAAGGCCCATATGACATAGTGGATTGTCTCTCAGACGTGACTTTCTGGATAAAATGTGGTTGACAAGGTAAGACAAAGTGGTGCATGCCAACAGGTTTTGGCATTATCACGGTCCAGGACATTTCAGTTGGAACAATGGAACAAATGATGCTGCTGAACACGTGTCACCTGAAAAGCCAATGTTGAAGAAGAAACTCTACCTGGTTTTGAGAAAAGTCACATCAGTGGTAGTAACATTACCGATAATAGGTCATTTCCTGATGGAGCAGATGAACTTTACGTGAAGCAGAAGCCAACGAGATAGAGACCAGTATGGTAAAATTAAGAGACTTTGTTGAATTTTAATTTTGTGTTTGTAAATTCTGTATATTTAATTAAGTTATTGTTAATTATCTATTGGTTTAATTTAAGTGGCTATTGAACAATACTAAGGAAGGGGAAGTGTTACGACAGCGGAAGTCACGTGATGCGGGTAACATGTGATGAGTTTCTAGGAGGATCGGGGAACATCACGAATAATCCAGTATTTGCTAGACGCCCTCTATTCCTGTATATAAGCGCGCCAGATAAAGCGAGACAATTAATCGGAATTGAATTGCAGATAGGGAGATATAGAGACAGATAATCGAGTCAAGTGAGCGGTAGTGATCGTAAGTAAAATGCGTGAATCATTGCGAATTATAGCGCGTGTTTAAGTTAAAGTGACTGTGGAAATTCTGTGTATTGCACAGTTGTATTGAGAAAGAATAAACTAGTTTTATTTAAGAAAGGACTTGTATCGTTAAAGTTCCTCGGGAAGAATTTTTACGGGAAATTAACAAACGACCAGAGACGTAACAATACTTATTTAATGCTTTATTTAACTTAGTGTTCGTTTTTTTTTATTTTTGTTTTTACTTAGATTATTAAAAGTATAAGAATTTTTTCTTGTAGGTTCAATAAATTATTTTAATATAACATTCCTGGTGTTTATGTAAATTATCCTCATTTTCATTGTATTTTCGTTATTAGTATTTTATTATATATTTAATAAGCCTTTCGGAGAGGCAGCGAGCTGACAATGTTAAAATCCAAGGTTCGATTCGCACTTGGTGAGCAGGACGCAGATAGACTAATATGTAGCTTTGCGCTAAAGAACAGCAGTTTAATAGATTTCTGAAGAGGTTTTTTTTTCAGTTTCTATTGGATATGCTCTAATCCTGAGAAGTAATCATGCGGTTTTCCTCTAAATCAGAATTATTACTGATCTTATTAGAATTAAAATTGAACTCGTCCCTGTTTATGTTTCCAATTTTATATATTTATCGTAACAAATAAGATATAATACACAAGCTGAGGTACCCATCCTTTGACCGAATTATGAACTTAAACATCGTGTGGTGGATGATATGATAAATAACACAAAAATTCTAACTTTCACACAATTTATTTATAACATAACATATTATTACAGTATTCGTTATTACCCCACCAAGTGTTTTTATAGGCTTTAAGAACTCAATATTTATATACTTAAAACATGAAAAATGAAAACGGTACGTGAATCTAGTAATGATAATACAAGCATTCGAGACAATCTTCAAAAGTTAAGTAGCTCAGGGAATACTTTTTTACGTGATATACGACATTCCTTCAGCAAACAAAGACAGATGTGAATGTTAACTTCAGAACGGTTAGATACATATAACCACGAAATGGTTTCAATGGATGGGTAATTGCTACAAAAAACACCGTTTAAGAGATATAACCAAGCTAAAATATTTGGAAATAAGAAACAGACTTCAAACAATGGGATGAGGTGAATTCTTCGGCAGCAAACAAAGTTAATTTGTATACTTGTAGAAAGAAGCATTATATTACGATCAGTGTGAAATATCCACAGTAAAGCTAAATCATACTTTTTATTATTTATTGTTCAACATTATCACCGTTGGAAAACCTCATTGATAGGATTTATTTTTCGGAGATCTACATATTTCCGCTTCAAGTGAAGCTGCTTTATTTTACTTTAAATAAAATACTTTTATAGAGTTTGTTTGTTTACTTTTAAGTACAAAGCTACACAGTGGAATATCTGTGATCTGCCCACCGCAGGAGTTGAACCCCTATTTTTATGCTATGAGGTCTCTGACTTTTTTCTTCTCTTCTACATAACGTTTATTAACCACTAGAAGGTACTGGCTATATATCATATATCAAATATAATTATTAATTTCATGAATATATATATAGTTTTTATTAAGTATATTTGGCACTTAGAGATTTCATAACGTAAAGCTGCGCCTTTGAATAATTCCACAACTTTTCGTTGCTGTTGTCGAAGACAGTGTACCCCATCACTAGACTGTTCACAAATACTTTTATAATCATATAAATTATCATGAATTTTTCAATATGACACAAAATCCAGAGTATTTTAACAAGTATTGTATCTGTTTTTCAGTTCTGTTGTCTTGGGTGTGCTATTTTGTCTGGCTTTCATGTTTCAAATAACGTTGGGAGCGATGTATTACGTCCTTTACCTCGCTTTACAGAAGCGTACACTGGATATCAAGTATTTTTTATATCGTTTTTTAAAAGTTAAAATCACCAGATATGATACAGTTATTGCTGTTCTAGTTTGAAAGGAATTCTTCAAATTCCACAAAGTCAGTAATCTGCAAACAAATTCATATTACTTTTGATTTTTACAGTTGTTTTGTCAATGTAAACTAGTTTAGGAATTTCCTAAGCGTACATTTGTTTTCTTATTTTCACTGACTCGACTTTGCATGCTGCATAAAACGGGTAAGCTTTTATTCATATCACTTAAAAAACATTCAGGTAGTCCTATATGTTCATGTTCCAGTGACCCTAAATTACGCAAGATAAAAAAGGTGGGCATTGAAGATTCATTTATCCAACAAAGGAATATACATTTTATTTTGATATCAGCGGATTAGAAATAATAAAAACATTCCAGAACTATAAGCCTTTAAGTGAAACTATCAAGCACAAATACGTTTTACAGTTTTGTCTATTTCAAACGTTAACAGTGCTTGTTTAATCTTGTGTTATGACGACACCTGGTGTTAGGTGTTAGCAATTGAAAATGTCGAAGTTCCCACTTTTTAAGATGATTGATATAAAGATTTTATAACTCTTTAAACATAGAATGTCCACAAAATGTTCTTTCAGTTTGAGAAAGCGACACAGCCGTGAATAATGTACTGTACAATTAAACAACTTTAGGTAGGGAATGTATTAGAATTTATTTCAAATCTTTAATTACTAGCAGGGGTTTTCCTTTTTATGTATTTAAAATAAATGTTATAAGTTTTTAACTGAATATATAAGATTTTAGATAAGGTTATTAAGTCGTGACTGAATAGATAACAACCACATCAAATAAACAAAAATGTGTAGTTGGTTACATTAGATATTTTTTAATTCATTCCAAAGACTTGTCAGTGATTTTCAATTTCTCGTCACATTTGTTATCTGGATAAAGGTGTATTTAAATTACACAGATATTTTCTTACATTTTCCATATGAGATTCACTCCGTTACTGTAAATGTTTCATTTCTACAGAAGTCTTGTGAACCTTTGATATATGTTTTATTTCCGTTATTATAAGAATTCTGCTGACAAAGAAATCGACAGCATCTTTAACACGTGATTTATTTCCTTTCTTTTATAAATGCTACATTTTAACAGAAATCTTCTAAAACTTAATTGGATGGCTTATTTCCGTTATTAAAGATATTTTTTACACATACAGAGGTTTGATAGATTTTCTTTTCCTTCCGTTTGAGAACAAATTTTGCTATCATTACCCCTTGAAGTTAGCTTTCTTACAAATATTTCGTGTTCCTTTAAAAAACTTAAGTACAAGGTGAAACAAGAATTACCAGCTAATAATAGATGAACATTAGATGAATGTTACACGTAGATACTCAATGCTTTGTACACTATACAATTGGTGTCTTTAGAGAGCCAATCCCTATATTATATATGAAGTGAAGGAGTAAAAAAAAAATCAGTACACACAATATTAAATTCTATTATACAGATACGTAGAATAATTACTTGAAAATACACGAAGATTTATGTAAAGTGATATTTTAGACGTATATGTTTTATTTGAAAATGGCTACTTTTCTACTGGTAATTTTTTTTCGCGCTTAATAGGGGTTCTGTCTTACTCTACGCATATATTTCCCCATTGTTATACATTATATATATAGAGAGAAAATTTAGTTACAAAGAAAATATAAATGCTTACTAAAATTTCTAAAAAATCTCCACGATAATTCCTAGCTGTAGCTTCCCATTTTACATTTCGAACTAATGTCATAAAGCTACAGTAAATCATCATGAACTGTATCAGCTAGCTACTAACTATGTTCATTAACATTATAATGTATAAAGGTGTGTTACCTCCCAAAAAGATTATAATGAAGATATCCGAGATTTCTTCTAGAAATATCTCGAAACTGGTTTTACATTTAAAATGTTATAAAATTAAAATCCATATTATTTTACTGTTAGTTCAAACTAAAGTTGCAAAATGAAAGACGTTCATTTTCTGTATCTGATGAATAACGTACGAAAGAACAAAGGTTTTAACTAAGTGAAGTCACACTAGTATTTTTCTTTACCAAAATGTTAACTTTATGAAATCACATTAATATGTCTTTCTACCAAAGTTTCCAAGAACGATCAGAAACTCATTTGTAGAACATTTTTAGTTTTGGTACCCAAAAAATGTTGCAGGACAGAAGAAAGTGTTATGTCACGTTTCTTTTTTCACACCAATAATCTACGCACACATCATGTTTTACACAAAAGGTTTGTAATATTTTATTTACGATAAAATGGGAAATACATACAGTGTTTGTTTGGAGAGTTACCTTAGATTCATGTTAACACAGCCTATATCCTATAATATGTTAGTATTGTACAATAAATACACAGAATACAGTAAAAGGTTTAACTTGTAGAATGTACAACCAAGATTTTGTGAACAGCGTTGAACTTCAGTAAAGCAATATAAGAAATAATACGTTAACATAAACAGAAAAACTTGAAAACATACCAATAATATCATATAACATAAATAGTAAAATTTGAAAAGATACCAATAATATCACAAGAGGTGTGGGTCGAGTATTGATTCGATCTCGGTGTTTCTTATCGGGGTGTCTCGTGTTCAAAAATTCCAGTTAACTCACATCTTAAAAGTTACTGTTAAAATGAGTCACTGAAGAAACAATCATTATGTTGTAGATGCTAAACATTTCTACAGACAGAAATGAGGAATGCAAAACAGAACGCTCTAGATATTCAGCAAAGTTTCGAAACCAAAATGAGAAAAATCTAAAACTTAATGTAACACCTCAAGCGATTTACGTCCAGCAGTTCGTGCACCCTCAAAAAACTATAGAACGTTCGATAAGTATTCTGGTCACTCTCTCTCAAAACAATCGTTTGTCTTTATGACACGCTAAAACAGACTAATAATTCTAAAATATTTGCTTTTCGAAATAAACCTTGTTTTATTTTTCATAAACTTATTCTAATTGGATGGTAATAAAGAATCATTGTAAAGTTTTCATGCAGATCGTAGAGAGCCAGAACTGCACTGGAGTACTTTTTGTAACAGTGTCTATATACGAGAAAGGTGTTAAAATATATGTTGTATTGGACATGGGATAAAGCGTTTGTTGCTGAAAAAATGACGGAGTTGGTAATAGATTGTTCCATTCCTGACGTCACTGAAGCCAGATTATTTGTGATCTTACTGTAACATTCAATTTCCTTTTTAGGCCATAGGCTCACACACTTTAATCTCGTCTTTATGGAACTACATACTTAATGTTACCGTTCTATTAGAATGACAGAACTATATAATAATAATACTGGAATGAGTACACAAGATGGGAGCAGTTTCATTGCCGATGAAGTACGCTTTCCATCCTGCATTGCTGCTGGATTTTCTCCTATCGACAAAAAAAAATACTGTTAATTAATCTGAAACTCTAAATTTACTCACAAATTTAAAATGAGTTTTAAAAATGGCGAAACATATAACATTCTACGAGTATGACACTAGACTTACAGATACTACATAGTTATGTAAAATATTTTGTATTAGATCAAAGTTTGCTAATCCAGGTTTTAGAAGTACTAGTTGTACTTGCTTCTAGAAACACGAGCAACTTGATTACTACACCTAACAAAGAAACACAAGTTATGTAACTACTACATCTTATATTTACTTCCAGTAACACGAGTAACTCGATTACTATATCTTTACAAAGAAACATATTTATGTAGTTACCACATCTTTACTTGTTTCTAGTAATAAGAGTATTGTACCAACGACAAACCTACTTCTGGAAACACAAGTTATGTAACTACTACATCTTATATTTACTTCCAGTAACACGAGTAACTTGATTACTATATCTTTACAAAGAAACATATTTATGTAGTTACCACGTCTTTACTTGTTTCTAGTAATAAGAGTAATGTACCAACGACAAACCTACTTCTGGAAACACAAGTTATTATTATAAATTGCCTCTACTTCTACACATTCAGGCTGTGTAACTATTTGACGAAACTATTCCTAGAAACACTTCACATCACGATTATTTTATAAATACAAGCTATTCAACTATTGCACCTTAAAACTGTTCCTAAAAACACAGACTAAGTAGTTGTTACACTTTACAACCGAACACAGACTATTCAGTTACTGCACCTTACTACTACCTCTAAAAAAATCAGGCTATGTAACTAACACATTTTCAAAAGAATTTTGCAATCAATGGATACACCTTACAATTACTTCTAAGAATGCGAGTTGTTGAACTACTACATCATAAAGTTACACGGGTTATGACATTGTAAGTTCTACACCTTACAATTACTTCTAAGAATGCGAGTTGTTGAACTACTACATCATAAAGTCACACGGAATATAGTCAATAAACTTCAAAACTATACTTTTAAAAACGCAAAATACATAACTACGGTTCTTTGTTGCATATCTACATATCCTAGAAGTAAGTATAGTGTGGCACGAGTAAAGCAGTTAGTACATATTACGCTCTTCTAGATACAACTACTCATTACCACACCTCATTTCTGGTATTGTTGAATTATTTTCCAATCTTCCTACTATTTTATAAAAACAACCATTTCTACCCTTTCTCATATATATTTATAATTATCACAATAACTAGACTTGCAATTCTTCATAATTTTGTTGCAGGTTGTGCTCAAGTTTCTTCCTCCTTAATCTTCTGTAGATATTTTTTGTTATTGTTCTAAACGCCATATTAGCTCTTATTACTTCTTCCTGTGAAATTTCAAAAAGCATGTTTATCTCTAAACACAATGATAATGTTGAATATTTTGCTCTGTTTTCGTTCTTTCTTTTTCCGCCTTCAACTTCTGTTGCATAATGAATAATACAATGTACCAGGATAAGTGCAACCGTCTATTCGTTTCCCGCATCTCGCTTCCCTTTGCTGCACCACATGTATTCACTGTTCATTCGTCTAAGTATATCTTATCTGTTCTGCTATTGTATTCCTGTCGTTAAATGAATATCTCAGATATTTATATTTCTAACAACTTCCATCTGATGGCTTTTATCATTCACATTTTTCATTCTTTATTGAGAACCATCTTCTTTGACTTATAAGGTTAAAGAAAGTTTAGTCCTCACCATATATTTGTTGATATATGCAAAACGTGTTTTTTATTTCCTCCGGTAAATCCGCCACTAGTACAATGTCATCAGCATATTTCAACAATATATATCCTGAATTTGTCATCATTTGCTTACATTCGAAGCTATTTATATATGCTGAAAATAGCGTAAGACGTAACGGACATTTTTGTCTAACCCTTTTCATAATTCAAAAACTATCTGATCTTTCTTGTTTGTTTTAAGTCTCTTTATCGTTTTATGCATATTTGTTTCCTATATCTATCATTCTACCAATTATTCTAAATGGTTTCAAATAACGTTTTTCTACTTGCAGTATGAAAAACAGTTTTAAAATACATTATAAATACATAGAAATATTTGATTATTTTGTGTAATAGTAAATATTAAAATTAACATGTGTTCTCTGGTGCCATACCATTTCCAAAGTTATGTTAACTTTTCTTGATTATTTATTTTTTTCTAAGCTTTCATTAAGTAATGAGATTCCTCTATAGCTCATTGCCAGTTTTTAAGTTGTATAAATACTTCCCTCTCTCTCCATTTCTTTTTATTCCATATTGGTTCCCATTTCTAATATTGTAATTCTCATTTAGTTTGTTAAATTGCAATAAAAGTCATATCAACTTGCCATTTTGTCCGGAACTTTTTCCTTTCTTCAAACTTATTCATACTTCTTTGTAAACTACATACTTATCCAATGATCATAATTTTTTCATCCGTTATTCCTCTTATTTATTTAATCTCTATACGATTATATATACTCTCCGTTTTTAATATTCATTGATCGTCTACTGATAGCCCATTGTGTTGCTTCGTGTTTAACATCAAACAAACTCTCTAATTCCTTTTTTTTTCTAATTCAGTGAAAGTTCTATCGCTCTATCTTACATCTTTATCTTCTATGAAAAACACTCTCTAAATTTCTTCTTATCAATAAATAATCCTGCCACATTCCAAATTACATTTCATTACCTTCTTCCCTTGTTTTCTTCTCTTTGTTATTTGCCATCTTCTGCAGTTCGATTATTCTTATACTCCGTTTCTTCAACAACAATTATTTACTTCTTATCCTTCACATATCTACATTACATAATATTCACCCAATTTTATATTTCTTTTTGTCACTTCTGCTTTTTTCTACACATTCAAATCCGGGCCTAAATTTATTAACTGACCTCACATTCACCTTCTTCCTCCTATGGCGCTTTCCTTTGGCTACTCTTTATGTTTCTAAACCTTTTCAGCATGCATTTCCATACCTTTTGACCTTCTATTTTCCAAAATTCTTTTTCTTTCTTTTCTTGTCTAACTTTTACAATCGTATGTGTTGGTCACTTTCCTCCATGCATTCCTACTGTAACGAATCAATACGCCTTTTTTATCAATTTTCACCTTTTTCTTCTGATTTTCACTGGTATTCTTTATCCTCTATGGCTCTTTTAAAACTACTTCTAGTTTCTAATTCATCAATTTTTTTGGATCCTACAAATGTCTCTCTTAAATCACCACAATTCTACTTCTAATTGCATACTTTATGTCTTACTATCTTCCCTTTCCTATTCCAAAATTACACCCATTTCTTTATTTCTTCGTTCTCTTTTTGTTTTAACTTATTTCATGTACTCTCATTCCTGTTTGATTTGGCCTGGCATGGACTGATGGTTATGGCGCTAGACCCACAATCTGAGGGTCGCGGTGTCGAATCCCACCCACAACATGCTCGCCCTTTCAGCCGTGGGGCTATATAACGTACTGGTCAATTCCACTATTCATTGGTAAAGAATAACCCAAGAGTTGGCGGTGGACGGTTTTGACTAACTCCTTTTTTTAAAAATTAAATTACGTCAAAATTTGGGACGGCTAACGCAACTAGCCCTCGTGTAACTTTTCGCCAAATTCAAAACAATTCTATATCTGAAAATTTCTTTTTTTCTCTTCCTACCTTTTTTAATGCCATGGAAGGTAATCTCGTAAATATCTTAGCTGTGATTCCAATGATTCACGTCACGTTGTTGCAAGAACGTGCTCCGCACTTTGAAACCGTGGGAGTACTATTTGTGAGATGCTTGAATCCCACTAATCGGTCAGTTAAGAGTACCCAAGAATTAACAATAGGTGCTGTTGACAAGCTGCCATCTACAAGTGTTAATTTTACAGGCTTATAAGACTCAAATCAGAGTTCGATTCATCCTAGTAGGTAGAACGCAGATAGACTATAATGTAGCTTTGCGCTGAAACAAACAAAAGAGTAGTTGCCTTATGGTAATTCCAAATTAGGGATGGCTATGCGTAGACAGCTTTGTGCGAATATTCTAAAACAAATAAATAACAGTATCATAGTCATTTAAAGTTCCTCTTAGTTTTTCTTAACTTCGAAAACATGTTGTTTTTTTTTAATTAAAAGAAAACTATTATTCCTCTCTCTTCCCTGTCGTCAGTGAATCAAACTGGTTAGTCCGTTAGTCTTTACTACACTTTCCTCCACCAAATCTCTCTCCTCTATTCAAAAACTGTTTCCAAACCAGTTGCTTACAAGCTATTGTAGATATTTAATTTTTTTTTCAGTACGGCAAATACAAGTGTACTTTTTTACCACGTTTAATAGGAACAATAATCAACCATGATGTTAGAAAAACACGTCGGTTCAAGAAGTCTTGATAGAAATGAATAAAAACCCTATAACCCGAGCGCTTTCGAAAGATGCATTCTTCAGGGGTAAACTGGGAATGTTGGTGTAATCGAATGAGTGATATATATAATGGGAGTTTAGTAACATCATGAAGGTTATCTGGTTTTCCAGAAAATATTTAGACTATTTCTCTATGTACTGTTGTAAGCGTCTCATTTCCGGTAAAAAGTAGCCGATGGCGAGAGCGTATGTGAAAAGGTGTTAGAGATATTTTACTTTAGAAATGGCTAAATATATATATAAAAGTATACTTAAGTGTTTAAGTAAAATAGAGGTGACACCTGGCGACTGATTGATTGTTTGTTTGTTTTTAATTATGCACAAAGCTAAACAAGGGCTATCTGTGCTCTGCCCACCACGGGTGTCGAAACCCGGTTTCTAGCGTCGTAAGTCCGCAGACATACCGCTGTGCCACTGGGGGGAAAGAGTGATTGAAAAAATGTTATGCTAATCAACTATATAATAAAAGACAGGTATGAAAAATTATCTTAAATAAATAGTAAGTTTGAGAAATTCAGCGTTTACATTACATGGAAAAATTAAGCAAAGAATAAAAAATATTTTTC